CTTCCGTGCGATACGTGAACGCATGGCCGCCTATGTGCGAGTCTTTCTCCAACACTGTCACCTGCACCCCCTGTTTGCTCAGTCGCCATGCCGCTGCGAGCCCGGCGACGCCTGAACCAATAACAGCCACTTTCATCCTGCACAACCGCTTCTACGCTTGGAGAGCGATCAGAATGCTGTGTGCTAGTATTGAGGAAAGGGTCGACTTCTCATGGAAAACGGCGGAACCACAAGTTGAACTCAGCTGGAAAAACCAGAAGGAAAGCTCCTTGGGCTTGTCGAAAATGGCTGTGGAAGACTGCAAGTGCAATCCCGAGGAGCAAGCACTTAAAGCTCCGGTTTTCATTTGAAAGGAAGGGCTCCGTTGTGATGAACTTGAAGAGGTTCGGGCGAGAGATTGGCGCAGATTGCATGCGAAACCGTGGCTGGTAACGAGCAAAATCGACTAGTGGCTTGAGGCACGAATGCAGCCACAACGAAAGAGCTTTCGCGACTACCAACCCTGGAAACGAAAATCGCGAGTCAATCATGGCGGACGGGGATCCACGTGGAGAGGCACCACTGGGTTTTATGACGTCATCAGTAGAGATTCTCGGAAGCCAGGAGACTGTCAACATGTTCCTGATAATCCCCGTGAACGCAGTGTACATTCTTGTTTGCAAAACATTCTTGCCAGTTAGAATTTCAACCAAGCTGACGTGCTGATGAACGCCACAGCAACCCATTCTATCATGGTTCACGATTTCCATCCCTACCCTAGACAACACGTTAGCCTAGAAATTGTGTATAACTGACTGGCTCACACTCCAGTTGCTGATCCAAAAAGAACTGTCACAAATCAAGCCCATCCTATCCACCTGACTAGAATGAGCACCTACCAGAAGACAAAACCGCAACACCTAGAAACCGAACAGGCCAAGCTCGGTGGCTCTCTCCTTGTCAAACATCTCGAAGTACTGGTAGATGATGGTCACGGCAAGGAGAATTCCAGTGCCAGAGCCAATGGCACCCATGAAGTCAGCAACAACGGTCAGCGCACCGATGCACATCCCACCAAAAGCAGCGGCCGTGGGAATGTAACGGTTAAGCTCCTTCTGCAGGTTAGATTCACGATGACCAGGCATCACCATTTGTTGCTCCTGCCGACACAAAGCAGTGGTGGGGGGGGATCAGAAGGAAAAGACAAGATGAATGAAACAGACATTGATTGGAACAGCGGTGAGAAGCACGGGGAGGGGGAAGGGGGGGGGGTTGCTTGTGGATGGGGGGGATTGAAGGGCCAAAAGATGGCAGGGGATTGGGGAAACATGGATAGGTGTGTGGGTTGGTTATGCCAGCAAGTCTTGTGTGGTTAGAATCAACTCTTTCAATCCAGTGATCAGGACTTTCTGGCAGTCAGGTGGAGAATACCAATAGAACATGTGGGCTATGAGGACACTGTGAAACAAATGGCATTATCACTGCCAAACCCTCCACACAGGCATACTCATACGATCAACAATTGGCGATTTCATGGGCAACTCATAGTGTACCAGGATGATCTTGATACCACCAATGGAACAAACGACCTGGCACCTGGTACTTGATAAGTGTTGGTGTTCCTTCTCAACTACTGATCAGTTTCAGGCTCCACAATTCATGTAAGAAACGCTGGCTGCCTAGCCCGTTCCACTTTGAAACCTATGCAGCAACTATTGTGCGATTTCAAATTCAACCATAAGTGGCAAAATTATTCTTAGACCTCAGGCTGCCTAAGTCCACTCTCGTAAGCCAGCCCAAACAAATATTATTGACCTAAAAAACGCCATTCTCACCTTGAGTTGCTTCGCCACATCGCGCGCAGACGACCCGGAGACCTCGATCCACGTCTTGGAGAAGAGCGCGCAGGCGGAGAGCATGAAGGTGACGTAGAAGAGCGCGTGGAAGGGATGCACCGCAATGTCCGCCAAGCTGCCCGGAACGGAAGTACATAGGGTTTCAAACACACATAGAGGCAACGCTCCGAACAAACTGAATATCGATCATGCGATCACTGTGGAGAAAGTGGGGAAAGCAATGGCAATTACGTCAACAGCAATGGAAACAGACGCTGACCTCGCAGGAGGCGTCATGTAATAGACAAGTCCGCCGACGGGAATGAGCTGGCCTGAACTTGAATATTCCGATTCGGCCCACACACCAAGAAGGCGCACCAGGATGAAACCGCCATACCTCCGATAAAGCAGCTGTGTGTAGGCACAGACATCAAAACACAATCACGCACTTAGGTAAGACTACAGGAACAGAGACCGAAGCAAAACCCTGCGAGCAACAAAAAACGCTAAAAATCGAAATCTAGCAAGTTACCGATCCGATTTTCCACTGTTGAGCCCTAGACGCACCTGCGAGATAAAATACAGGTTGGAGACGAGAGCCGACTGCAGAATAATGGGCATGTTCGAGGTGTAAAAGAGCTTGATGGGGTACGAGCCCTGCTGCCCCCTAGCGCTCTTAGAACGAACAGGGAGCACAACGCGGAAGCCCTGGAAGTAAATCACGATGAGGAATACGAGCACGGTGGCTAGGAGGTTGGTGACGTTTGGCAGGTTCTGCCGGTAGAAGGCCTCCTTGAGCGCGCGGACTTTGTCGGTCCGGGTGATGAGCAGGTGGAAGAGAGCGATCACGGCTCCCTCGAACTCGGCGCCACGGCCAGCGTTGATGGTCGTCGGGCTGAATGCCTTCCAGATGATGCTTTCACTGCAGAGCATAACAAATAATGACAACATTAGTAACAGAAACAAAGAATCTTGACACTGGGAATCTTGACACTGGAAATATTGACTTTTAGATTTATTATTTTTTGTAAGCCACTGAGAATCTTGGCGAGGCAGATCTGGATGTCTGAACAGACGATGCTCTTCTCAAAAGTCGACAACGTGAAGGACGTAAATGTCAGCTGCACAAAATCAAGTGTCAACTTACCAAATGTTCGTCGCGATGAAGAGAGAAATTCCAGATCCGAGACCGTATCCCTTCTGCAGGAGCTCGTCGAGGCAGATGATGATGATGCCGGCGAAGAAGAGCTGCACGATGATCAGAATTGCATTCGTCGCACCCAGATCGCGCACATCGCCATACATCCCCGAGACGACGTATGCGACAGCTTCGCCGACCGTGATGAGCACTCCCAGAAGCTTCTGAGCTCCATTACTGAAAAAATAACCAGCAAACGGAACAAGTTCAGGTTTTTAGGTTACAACAAATCCGGATTCACTCCCCGGAAAGATCAGCGATGGCACGTCGGATCCATTAGTAGGCCTAAGCGGAGAAACGACAAATCCCTTTTCTAACCCTAACGGCTTCGCACTATTTTCTGCTGAAGTGTCAGGAAACCAATCCGCGACTTACATCAATTCTCTATCTTCCTTGATGTTGTTATCCACCTCGATCAGCTTCGACCCTACAAGAAGCTGAATCACCATGCTGGATGTGACAATGGGAGTAATTCCCAACTCCATGACAGTACCGCGGTTGGAAGCCAGAATAACACGCATCCAGTAGAACGGATCTGATCCTGTGGCTGTGTGGATGCCATAGAGGGGAAGCTGACTGCAGACCAAAAAGATAAAAAGCGACACGGCGGTGTAGAGAAACTTCTCCCTAAACGGCACTTTCCGATCTGCCGTCTGCACCTCCGGCAAAAGGTTCAGAAACGGCCGGACGAGATGCAAAACTCTAAAGCCGCCACCCATGGCTCCTAGTCACAAGCACCTAATGCCTAAGATTTCAATCCAGCAATGCAGACCTTAGAATGAGATAAGCAAAATGAGCGGAGAACTGACCAACTAATTCAAGAGAGGATGGGATGACGCGGGATCCAGATTTGAAAAACGCGTTGAGATGGGATGAGGAGAAATCTAGGTCAGAGTGGAGGGAAGAAAATGACCGACCCGATTCACCTGCTGGCAGCTGGTGGTTGGTTTGGAACAGCGGGCATGGCAGGCACTGGAAGTGGGGAACTGTATGGAGGGAATTGGGTTGGTGCTGGCGGTTGGGAAGCGTAAACGACAGTTGCGAAGTATTGTTACGAATGCAGGCCAGTGCCCAATTGATGAATGATATACATGAATGATGAATGATATGCCGTATGCAGATCATTGTTAGCATGAAAAGCTTGCACTTGATGTGGATATTATAAGCATCAGTAGATATGATGAATCTCAAACAAATTTATTGAGTATCCGGCAATCAGACCATTTTGGCATGAGAATTTAGGGCCTATTGTGAACATAGTGTGAGATAGCGTTCTTTTTAACTTCAGGCAGAGCTTACTCGCATCCGAAGTGGGACAATATCGTGGGCGCTCAAAATGGTATTGGTGTGTGCCACCATGAGAACCACCAGTTTCAGATTCTATATGAACCTTTCTACAACTCTTTGAACCGATCATTTAAACCGATCATTTATGGATCGAAATATTCGCGAAGAGCATCTAGCGAAGATAGAGGCATGCGACGTGGATCAAAGATCCTCGTGAACATGGTTACCGTCGCACGTAAACAACCACTTATAAATTCTTCAGAAGGTTCCACGCTTCCGCTCCGAGCCAAAGCAATCGTCAAGATCGCCTCTCCTAAACGGTCACCCATCCACTACGTGTAACTCACATAATCCTCAACCCTTCGATAGTCGCGTAAGCTTTGCCTTTCTGCGGTCTAGATTAACTTCGGTTCCGCTCCGCCACCACCGCCTGCATCCGCGCAACGGCAGGTGAGGCTCTATCCGAGCGCCGCATTCTCGCGTCGCGGTAGTCTTCAGCACACCTCCCTGGTGAAACAGTCTTGCGAATCAGCGCAGCAAGCCCATCGCGAGCAGTTCCCAACCCTTCGAGCATTGTACATTGTTCCTTCCGGACGGGTTGGAAACAGTCGAGCAGTTTCCAACCCTTCGAGCATTATCCATTGCTCCTTCTGGACGCCCGTGGCCTTCGACGCTCCGCTCCACACCCTTTTCCGTCGAGGATGCAAGCTCATTGTGGAATGGCAGAAAACCCCCGCCTATTTCACATAGTGGAATGGCTATTTCTTTAAGAGCTTGGATTTACTCCTCGCCTTTCCCCATCGCCGTATCCCGCCAAAAGCCTTGCGTTTTGCCCGGTCCGCGCACGCGGTAATCGCTCTTTACCGACAGGGTATTGGGGGAAGAGAGCCTCCCGCACCGAGTTCCCCGCCCCCCGCCCTCCGCCCTCCGCCCTCCGCCCTTCACCCTCCGCCCTCCGCCCTTCGCCCTCCGCCCTTCGCCCTCCGCCACACGTCATCTTCCGCGCACGCAGGAACCGCTCATTGCCGCGCACCCCTCGCCCCACTTCCCTCATCCCTCCCTCTCCTCTTCCTTCACTCCCCTCTCTCCTCACTCCCGTCGCCCCTCTGTTCCCTCATCCCTCGATCCCCCGCCCCTCGCTCCCCGCTCCCCTCACCCCCCCCGCCCCTCGCTCCCCTCTTTCCTCACTCCCCTCGCCCCTCGCTCCCCTCTTTCCTCACTCCCCTCGCCCCTCGCTCCCCTCTCTCCTCACTCCCCCCGCCCCTCGCTCCTCCTTCTCTCCTCACTCCCCTCGTCCCTCACCCCCCTTGCCCCTCACTCTCCTCCCCCTTCAGTCCCCTTCCTCTGGCATCCTCATTCCCCTTTCTCATCCCCCTCCCTCCCTCCCTCCCTCCCTCCTTCCTCTCCGTCTGCACCTCGTCCGTAATCCCTCCCTCTCCTCCCTCTCCCATCCCAGCTTCACCAGCATTGAATCGCTGGCCTACTGGGTGCTGCTGCTGGGCTTTGCGCGCCTCTCCTTTCCTCACTACCCCTGTCCTGTCGTGCCTCATTCCCCCTTCTCTTCCATCCCTGCCCCCATCCTTGCAGCATCAGCACTACCGGTATGGAGCCGCTTGGATACTGGCTGCTGCTGGGCTTTGCGCGCCTCTCCTTTCCTCACTACCCCTGTCCTGTCGTGCCTCATTCCCCCTTCTCTTCCATCCCTGCCCCCATCCTTGCAGCATCAGCACTACCGGTATGGAGCCGCTTGGATACTGGCTGCTGCTGGTGGCGTTTGCGCGTCTCTCCTCGGTCTACTTCGGCTACTTTAACCTCTGGGCGCTGCAGGTGGCTGTCTACTCCAAACGCACCAGTGAGTGCTCCTGATGCGCCTCAAATGTCTGACTCACTCTTGTTGATTCTCAAATGCGTGTTTTGAGACGTCTCAAAACGTGCTCCTGATGCGCCTCAAAATTCAAATGTCTGACTCACTCTTGTTGATTCTCAAATGCGGCTCGGAAGCTGCTGCCGGCCGTGGTTGGTGGGTACACCTATCCTCGGTCTACTTTGGTTATTTCAACCTCTGGGCTCTGCAGGTGGCTGTCTATTCCAAACGCACCAGTGAGTGCCCCGCTAAGACTGTGACATATGAGTCAACCATAGGTCACCTTGTAACAACCGCACACCACACCTGAAGCTCCTGCTGGCCTTGGTTGGTTGGGTCGACTCAAAAGGCTGCATAGATGGCTGTCACACTGACTCACCTCTTCGCGCTCAGCATCCACTGTTCTCCGCTCAGCAGGTGTACACCTGCTGCTCTCCCACTCTCGCACAGTGTCCCCTCACAGTGTATCACATGCATGGCCGTTTTGAGAATTCTAAAAAAGCATACCCACTCTCGCACAGTGTCCCCTCACATTGTATGACGTGCATGGCCGTACCTTTGCCGCATGGGCAGCTGTGTGCATGCTCCGCGGTATCTCACTCCTTTTTCCAACCTCTCTCCACCCCTCCGCATCTCACCCACCCACTTTTCCCCTCCCTCCTTGCCACTCGCAGTGCCTGACTCGCACGGTCGCACCTTTGCAGTCTGGATAGCTGTCACCTGCACGCTCTGCAGCTGCGGCGTCCTTTAATTTCTGAGACTTGAAGCAATACATTCCATTGCCCCTTGTCCCCTCGCAGTGCCTGACTCGCACGGTCGCACCTTTCGCTCACGGACAGCTGTCACCTGCACACTCTTCATCCTTTGTGCTCTGCCACCCACACTGCCCTCTCTCACCCCGTTTCCCCTCACACTCTCTGATATGCTTTGTCACACCTTTTCTGCATGGACAGGGGTCACATGCGTGCACATGCACTCTCTGTCACACCTCATACCTCACACCCCTTTTCTCAACCTCTTTCCACCCATCCCCTCCTCCACCTCACCCACCTACCCACCTTCCCCTTTTGTCAGTGTCTGACGTGCACGGGCGTACCTTTGCCATCTGGACAGCTGTCACATGCACGCTCTGCATCCTCTGTGCGCTCTGCATCTGGACAGAAGCCCGCTCTTCCTCTCCCTCCATCCCCCCCAACCCCCCACCTCCCTCCCACCCCGTCTTATCCACCTATATTCCCCTTGCGTCTGTCAGTGTCTGACGTGCAAGGTCGCACCTTTGCAGTCTGGATAGCTGTCACCTGCACGCTCTGCGGCTGCGGCGTCCTTTAATTTCTGAGACTTGAAGCAATACATTTCATTGCCCCTTGTCCCCTCACAGTGTCTGACGTGCACGGTCGCACCTTTGCCGTCTGGACAGCTGTCACCTGCACGCTCTGCATCCTCTGTGCGCTGCATCTGGACAGCCGCCCGCTCTTCCTCGCCACCCTGGCATCTTTCGTCTTCGCCCTCCTGCACTTTCTGCTCGAGCTGCTCGTCTACAAGACCATGACAGTCAAGAACTTCGCTGCTCCGTGCTTCTTCGCTTGTAAGTTGTGGTGAAGCCTTGAAATGCCTTTTCAAACCGTTCTTGAGGTTCCTTCGAGATCGAGCTGCTCGTCTACAATACCATGACAGTCAAGAACTTCGCTGCTCCGTGCTTCTTTGCTTGTAAGTTGTTCTGTTTGACTTTGACGTGCATGGTGGCACTTATGCTGTCTGGACAGCTGTCACCTGCACGCACTGCATACTCTGTGCGCTGCATCTGGACAGGCGTCCGCTTTTCCTCGCCTCGCCACGCTGGCGTATTTTGTCTTCGCCCTCCTGCACTTTCTGCTCGAGCTGCTCGTCTACAAGACCATGACTGTACTTTGCTGCTCAGTGCTTCTTTGCTTGTAAGTGTTCTTTGGTCATGCCAACGCATTTTACTTTTGAGCATTGGTCTCAGGTTGGTACTGTAATTGTATTAGGTGCCTGCCTACCCACCCCCCCTTCCCCTCGCCCATCCCCCTCTGTGCAGCTGTGTCTGCAGTGTGGATGTTTATGGAATTGGGCAAGTTCAGCCGTGACGAGGATGATTGATTCTAGGAGGTAGTAGTATATTGAGGGCTCTAAGGACTCAAGGGGTGTATGTAGTCATGTTTGGCTAATTCTGCGTGAAAGAATGTCGTTCTATTCCTTCACTTGACACAATTGCCAAGCAAGTGAATGTGATGGAAATAAATACCGGTATCAAAACTGTGCTATCTCGCCACGGAGGTCTGCTAGAGGAAAATAGCGCATGCAGGTTGACAAGATCTCCATGGTCTACATTGCTTCCCATAGGAGACCAAAATGTACATACAGCGTTATCAGGGAGCATCTATCAGCATACTCGACTCTACGCTTTAGCGATGCGCTCTTTGCTGCAGTATTGGATTACCTCGCCTCGCATATTCCCCAGACGAAATATTCCAACAGGCAATCCCCTTTTGTATGCTTCCTCCTAACCCTAGTAGCCGCGACAACTTTGACTTAGGTAATTCCGACTAGCCTCACTGCCGCTGACCAACAACCGCCTGCTACCCTCTGGGAGCAGAGCGTGTCATGTGTGCCGTGTAGGCAGCGCGGTAGGGGAGGATACCCCACGTTCAGGGGAACGAGTTGGTACAATCGGGAGGACGAACCGGTGTGGTTCAAGGGTAAGGGATTGTACCTGCCTCCCCCGTCTTAGCTCCATGGAATTCCCGCCAGCTGTGGAGGCATTCGCGAGCGAGATTGACGGGGTCGAGAAGAAGTTGGAAAACCTTACTGTTGAAGCTGAGGACACATGTGCTTTCCACGACTGTTCCCAAATCAAGGTCTGATGGTCATGTCAAGACCTTCGTTAAACCGTTGTCGTTATCATGGTATGTTCCTATGATATGAGCATTTGAACAGCAGGATTCTCGTCGACTGTTTGCGCTAAATGCGATATTTTTACTCCGACTTCCTTTCAGGACGACAGCAACGTGTGCGCAATCTGCCACGAGGGCATCATTCTTCAAGCGACGGGTTTCATCAAGGGATGCGACCACTCATACTGGTCAGCAGACTCTTCCTTTTGCTGTCGTAGCCATAGTTGCCGTTTCTTTCTTGTTGATTTCGCACAATAACCGTTTCCTTCCTTGTCTCTCAGCATCAACTGCATTCTTCAGTGGGCTTCCTACAAGACCCATCCGTGGTGTCCCCAGTGTCGCTTGCCATTTTCATCGCTTTACCTGTACAAAAATCTGAATGGGAGGTATGCTGGAAATTTCTTTCATCTTAACGCGTCCTGCTCAATTTCTATTCCCGTTACCTTGAACTTGCCATTTGTGACTCCATTCGAGCGTCCACCCAGTGACCTCCTGCCTTTCTTTGTGCAGCGTCAGTGATTTCATGCTTGAAGAATCAGTGTGCTTGCTTCTCCGTGCTCCATGGTACACTCCTGTGGAATTCGAATTTGACAATGAGATAGAGCACCCACCAGAGCTGGATGCCTATGAAGAAGACGAGGAAGAAGACTATTATGCTAACACTTTGCGCATAGGCAACAGGCGATGGGGTGAGAATGGCTATGTCCGCCGGGGCCGTATAGAGGCACGTCCTGCCCCTGCCCGCCCATCTGGTACAGCTCAGAAGGGTCATAATCCCAAGGAGGGGGGTTTGGGCCGAAGGGCAAGGCGAGCTCAGAAGAGGACCATGGCTGATGGGGGAGCTTCTGGCTCAGGCAGCCGCTAGAGCCACAGGCACTGGTTCCCTTAGTTTTTCAAATACGGTTTGTGTACAATTTGTAGGGATTTGTACAGTTCGTGCTTCACATGCTGCTCAGCTGACGTACAAAATAGTTTATTACTTCCTTAGGGAATTTTGGTTCATATGCTCTTGATGAATATTGTAAATGACGGATACAAGCAGTGACCTCGGCACTTCGGCGCGCTCTACGCATGCCGAACCCCTGCCGCCCAACTGCCTCGCTGGGAGATATTCTGTTCCGGAAAACGGGTACCAGGTCAGCTTTCCCAGAGCTGACTCTCACGTCGGTGGTCCTCCACCAAATCTGGGTGGAAAGGTGCGATGCAGTATTTCGGGGGCAAAAATTCCGGACCAAACGGGTATTGTGGAAGGCGGAGGCTGCTTTCAGGCTGCACGCGAAGATATACATGCAAAAAATGGGGGCATCACGGAAGAAGCGGCTCCGGGAAAATTTTGTGGAAGAGCAGAAAATGCTGAGCAAGATCAAGATGGATGGCAGGAGCTGGACATGGAGGCCTGCCTTTGCTGCGCTATGGTCCACGCGAAGGGCATGCAACATCTCGCCCTAGGCAGTTTTCACCTGGAACAGTAGATGGGCTGCTGTCCCTCACGCACGGTTACGACCGTCTGATGATATATGCTTGCTGTACCGGTGTATATTATCAATCATACAAAAAAAATATTGTAAATGACCATGCTTTGTACTACCGGTACTTTAGTTCATCCCAAATATATGAGGTTCAAAATCCCCGTTTGTATGACGTGCATAGCTTGGTTTGTGGCTTCACACATCTGGGAGTGGGCTCCCACTTGCCTGGCATGTGGAGCGGGATCTGTTGAGCTGGATATTCTCCGCCACGCCTTCATCTTCTCCATGTGACCAATTGCCACGTGGCGAGAATCATAGGGCTATCCTTCCTCCATCGTTCTGTTGATAGTGACACGCGCTCCTGACCACCCGCCTTCGCCCCCGCATCTGTTGGCTTTTGATCCTCGATAATGGTTACTCGCTCGACCAGGGCTTCGCCCGCTGCAAATCTTTCGCGTGGTCCGGGAGGCATTTTCGCAGAATTCGAGGATAGCGAGAGCAGAGCAAATGTGGCTGGAAACTTGCTCAATCAAAACACGAAGAATCTCCACCACCTCCAGCTTCAGCAATGCAAAAGCCTTCTCTGTCACCTAGGACCTCCATTGCAGTCTAAGCTGAGCTCGAGCTCTGCTGTCAGGGCGCGTTTCGTCCTGGAGAAAGTTTGAGCGAGGTGCGGTAACCTAGTATTGACGAGCATGGCGGCCACGGCAGTGACATCCTCCTCTGCAGGCGCGTTGCATGCTGTCTCCTCAGTTTGCCTCAAAGAGGAGAAGCTCTGTGTTGCCTCCTCTTTCACTCCGCTTTTGTCCGCACAGGTACATAATACCTGCGTTTATCCTTTTCAATCAATTTGAATGCTTAGCTTTTCAAGCAAACCTGGACCCCATCTACAATGTCGTATAAAATGAGGTTACCAACCTATCTTGATGATGTAAATGCAGGCGGATTTTTTCGGAAATTCGCTTCGCCAGCAGTCGCGAAAGGCTTCGCGCAAAGCAGCTTCCCAAAATCATGGAGCCCTTCAGGCATGTACCTCGTAATTCGCTCCTCAGTCCATCCCACCACCCAGTTGGCTTGTACCATCATTCTCTTTCGGAAGTTAACTGGTTCCGACGAGCATCAAACTCGGTTGCGCGCTGATTTTTGTCGCGGATCTGACGGATATTCTCAAGCTTCCAAATTTATAACAGTCTTCCCTTTGCTTCGCTGCAGGTTGCTGCGACCGCAAGCAATTTAAGCGACTCTGAGAAGGTACGACGGTAACTTGGGTACCTACGGTCTTGTCCTGTCAAATAAGATGTCGTTATCCTAACACCTCGATGTCAATCAGGAAATGACGATGCATGCCAGGTAGTGATGGCTAGCTTGGCTTTTAATGTTCACGAAAATCAAGAACATAACTGTCGGCCGTTTCAAGCAACTGTCTGGTTCTAGTAGGCGATTCATGTGCTCTCACGCTTTGTCAGAGACTTCCATCTCAATCACGCGGTCCCTTGCATGTGTAATGGCCAACCTTCCAAGCCCTACCCTCCTTTTCTTTAAGAGAAGACGGCAGGAGGGTGAAGAGGGAGCGGGAGAAGGGGAGAAGGGAAGGTGGGGGGAGGATTGCGTGAGGGAGCGTAAGCAGCCTTACCGTGTCTGCGTTTTCCGTCCCTCAATCTTCACGAAATCGTCCTTCTTTCTACTCTATATCGTGCGCCTGGTCACATGATCGCAGGAGCGGTTGGAGGCGATGGTGGCGGAAAACGCGCGGCTGAAAGCGCGCCTGGCGGAGCTGGAGGGGGCGCTCTCGCTCGCCATGCAGGGAGGCGGCGCTCCTGGCTCGCCTGCTGTTGCTGCTGATGTGGTGAGTGATGTAGAAGGTGCCATTGATGACCTATGCTAGTGTGATGTGTATTGTGATGTATGTACGTACAACAGCAATACCCATGGTGAGAACCGAAATTGTGCTGTCAGGAGCAATTTTCTTGTTCCAAATCCAAGAAGCTTATCCTGTGATGATAATTGCTCAGGGAACACGTAGCGGAGGCAATCGAACTCACTTTGTCTTGAATAATAAACTGCGTTGAAAACCACTCCACGCCTGTTTATCCCGTACGCGTTTCCCCATGCGTCAGGCAGCAGCAGCAGCAGCACCAGCCTCAGCATCTGTTGAAGTTATAGAAGAGGCCGTAGGAACGGCTCAGAAAAGACAAGCTGTGCCGGCCACCGTCGCCCAGCAGATTATCTGGCCGTCTCCCCAGGAGGAGCCGCCATTCTGGATGCGCTGGCCAACCAGTGAAGGATACGTGGCAGCAGCAGGGGTGGCGAGCAGCGGGTCAACAGGGGACGGAGTGGTGGGAGAGAGGGACGCGGAGCGCATTCACATCGTGCATGTGACTGCGGAAATGGCTCCCCTGGCGAAAGTTGGAGGCCTCGGGGATGTCGTAACAGGTCAGTATTGTGTTACAGTTACAGGTCGCATGTAGTTCTTGTACCAGATCATTAGCACGTTGCTGGGTGAGCAAGACGTGGTAGCAGTAGCAGGTGATCATCTGAGGGCGGAGTTGTGGGAGAGAGGGACACGGAGCGCCTTCACATTGTGCACGTGACTGCTGAAATGGCTCCCCTGGCGAAAGTTGGGGGTCTCAGGGATGTGGTAGCGGGTGAGTCACACTTCACTGTTACAGGATAGAGAAGTCGTTGTAACCGGTCATTAGTGTGTCTGCAGGTTTCATCTAAGCCTGCCTCTCTTTCTCTGGGGCACTCAATGGAGGCGATGCTGCAGTTGCACTTCTTCCTTGTCCGTCCATCCATGCTTGTTCCTCTGCAGGTTTGGACCGGGCCTGTCTGGAGGTGATGCTGCCGCTCCAAGAGTGTCTGGACATTCCTTACTTGTGCCTAAGAAACTTCTTCATTGTCCATGGCTTGGTGTTTCTCTGCAGGTTTGGGCCGAGCGTGTCTGGCGCGGGGGCACACGGTGGAGGTGATGCTGCCATTCTACGAGTGTCTGGACACCAAGCAGATCGCCAACCTGCAGCTCAAGCGCTCCTTTGGCTCCTACTTCAAAGGCGACTGGGTTGGCGTGGAGGTGCGTTGGAGTGGGTGCGAGCTGGGGAAGGGAGGTGGGTTGGAGTAGAGGAGAGATGAGGCGGAATGGAGGTGTGCCAGATTAGGCATGCAGTTATAGCAACTTAAGCACGCACCGGGTCTCGAAATTCCAGCTGTTTGAGCTGAGGCTCAGAAAAAAGAGCACTGTGTGCTTCATCACCCGTTGCTCCCTCCCTCCCACACAGCAGTTTATTTTTTAGGCGCCTCATTAATTTTTTAGGTGCCTCAAAATAGAAGGAAAAGCACTGTGGTGTGCTCCATCACCCGTTGCCCCATCCCTCCCATCCCACCCTATGTTCCATCTGACGCGTCAGGCGTTTTTTACGCCAGCGTCTGGACGGGGCGTCCGGACGCCTCAGGTGCCTCTGCCCTGGACGCCCACTTGACGCTCGTCTGGGCAGGGCAAAAAAAAATCGGGCAGGGGAAAAAGACCTGATTGTTGTGCGGGGCTAGGAGACGACGTTGTAACCTAATCGCCTTGAGTAAAACTGAACTAGGAAGATTAACTAGCGCGACTGGCGGATTCTAGGGTTGAGATTGCTAGAGAATGACGAGAGATTGAGAAGTGAGTAATGTCGACCCAGATCTGCTTTTCTGGTTTAGATCGGGGCCGTCCAGATTGAGAAAACGAAGTATGGATGGGTGAAAATGTGTTGTGGGAATTGATGTGGGCTGTGTTTTTGTGGCCCAAAAACGCAACCTACAGTTGGCGATTTCATCGCGAATCTGGTCGCGATGAAATCGCGCGTCGATTTCGTGCGGAAAACTGTTTTTCGGGCTGCCCAAAAAAATTGCCCAGCGTCCAGCGTCCGGACGCTGCACTACTAGGAGGGCGTCAGATGTAACATAGATCCCACCCAGCAGCCATGCATGCAGTGGGAAAAATCTGGGATGGGAGTTGTGGCCAGTGGTGTTGCTGGGCTGGGGTGGGGCCATGCCACAAAACCGGATCCAGTACCACAAGCAGCTCTTACCAGGTGGCTTTGAATCTTATCTGAGCAGGCGTCCAATGGGGAGATCTCAGGCGTGTCGGTGGTGCTGCTGAAGCCCGAGGTCTACTTCTTCAGGGGAGGGCGCATCCGTGCCTGTCTCTCCCCTTCCCACACACGTGCATGCCTGTACGCACATATTCACGCTCCTATCGTGGCAGGCTTTCAGTGGGGAGATCTCAGGCGTGCCAGTGGTGCTGCTGAAGCCACCTGAAAACCACTTCTTCAGGAACTGTCGCATCTGTGCCTGTCTCTCTCCCCTTCTCACTCACATGCATGCCTGTACGCACAAAACACCCCCTCATTATTGCAGGCGTTCAGTGGGGAGATCTCAGGCGTGCCAGTGGTGCTGCTGAAGCCCGAGAACCATTTCTTCAGAGGCGGGCGCATCTACGGCGGCTCCTACAACGAGCTCGAGGCCTACCTCTTCTTCAGCCGCGCCAGCCTCGAGTTCCTGCAGGTGATTCGCGGCTCTGTGGGCTTTGATGATTTCCTGCAGGTCATAGGAGGGAAAGGAAGCAGGTCCGTTCTGGGCAAGGTATGCCACGCCATGATGCTCCTACAACAAGCTCGAGGTGTGCCTCTTCTTCACCCGCGCCGAGTTTCTGCAGGTGATGCAGCGGTGTGGTGGGATGCACATTGAGTTGAGACATGGGGGTGGGGCCATGCGATGCGACTAGGGCTGTGCAGGGAATACAAATGGGGCTGTGCGATCTGGGTCATGGGCCGTATGTGCCATGCCATGCCAAGTCTGCTCCGTTTTCATTCGCCCAGTAACTTTGTACCCTGTGCTGTGCTTATGCATGTCCATTCCTGTGTCTCCTCCCGTCAGGTGACAGGAGCACAGCCGGACATTCTGCACGTCCACGAGTGGCACACAGCAGCAGTGGCGCTGCTGTATTGGGACATGTACCACCAGCTCAACCTGCAGGTGCGTCATTTCATATGATGAGGCACCTAAAGGAGTGCAGCTGTGAGTCCAATCTGTGCCATCGCAGCTGCATTGCGCGTGCAGACATCACAGCAGCAGTGGCGCTGCTCTACTGAAACATGTACCACCAGCTCAACCTGAGGTGCGCTATCAAACCGAATCTAGAATATCCATCTTTCCTTAAGGCTGCTACTGTACTGAAAGATTCAACACTAGCTCAACCTATAAGTGCGCTGTTGTTGTAGCTGCGTGCTCTGTCAAACCCGCTCTACACCCTTTTTGCCTCCCTGCTCTTTCACCCAATTCCTCATGCGTCTGTATGGATTGGTAGGGTTGACTCAGATTCCTCTCTGAACGAATCCTTTTCACACTCAGAGATTCCGAAATAATCTTATGAATGGGAATGTAGGGTCGAATCCGACGATTCTCGGTAAGAAAAACAAAACAAACGAACCAACTTGTATCCACTCTCGTACTGGCATCCCTTCCTTCCTCAACCCCCTCCCGAATTTCAGAAGCCACGCCTGATCCTTACCATTCACAACATGGAGCACCATGGGGAGTGCAGGTGAGAGGCATGGGTGGGAGAGTGCAGGTGAGAGGCATGGGTGGGAGAGTGCAGGTGAGAGGCATGGGTGGGAGTACATAAACAATAAGCGAAGTTTGTTGAACACCAATCACACACGTTAGATGGGGCACCATGGGGAGTGCAGGTGGGGGTCAGTGGAGAGACCTTACGCAGTCAAACTTTTTGCTTTTTTACCACCAGTCACAGTATGTACGGAGCGCCAGGTGAGAGACATGGGTGTGACCAGTTAAGTGTGATGGTTGCATTGAGCCTGGCAGCGTTTTCATGGTGCTCTGCTTCCCCATGACTCTCTGCTGTCCCCGTAAAAGACAGCTAGCTCATGTATCTCTGCACTATGCTGCTGCCGTGTGTGCAGTACGTTGCTCCATCCTCTGTGCATGGCTCCCCCTTCTGTGCGTTGCCGGGCCCCTGTCTCAGGTGGGAGCAGCTGGACATGTGTGGTCTGGACGGGCAGTCGTATCTCGACACTGAGAAGGTAAGCACTGCTGGAGAAAGTAGGCTAACGTTGTTTTCTGATTGGAAAATCAGACAATTGAATCGTCTCATAGTGAGACGCCTCAAGAAGCTGGTATCGCGTGGTCTGGATGTGCAGTCCTGTACATAATGACTGTTGGAGTAGGCTAGATAGAGTACGGTCTGAAAGGGTAGTCTGACCTGGAACACAGGAATGAAGGAACTAATCGTCTCAAGAAAAAGGCATGGGTTTCTCATTGGCTCTCTCCATCCACCCCCCGGGTCAATCTACTTCTTTAGGTGTCAGTAAATGTCTGGAAGAGGGTCATACATACACCCTCATGGAAAAAAAAAACATGGGTTTCTCATTAGCTCCTTTTCAGGCATCTTATGATCCTCCATCCCCTTTCTCTCGTCCCTTTTCCCCTTTTCCCCTATTCCCCTATCTCCACCCACCAGGCTATGGACGACTGCAAAGTGGGGCTGGGCATGCCTCACAACCCTGATGTGTCCTTCGCTCCTCTCATATCCCCCGTGCCCTTCCCCTCTGTCTACCGCCCATCAGGCCATGGATGACCGCACAGTAGAGGCACAGCCCTGAGAGGCTGCCCTTGCCGCTTCTCCCCTCTCATATCTCATGCCTCTTTTCTCTCGAATCTAATGCATCTCCTTTCCTCCCACCTCCTCTGCTCCCCCGCCCACCAGACCATGGATGACTGCACAGTGGGCCACAACCCTATCCTCCCTCTCCTGTCATATCCTCTGCCGCCACACCCCTCTCTCCCTGCCCCTCACCATCACCACCCTTACGGTCCACCAGGCCATGGATGACCGCACCGTGGGGCACAACCCTATCCTCCCTCTCCTGTCATATCCTCTGCCGCCACACCCCTCTCACCCTGCCCCTCACCATCACCACCCTTACGGTCCACCAGGCCATGGATGACCGCACAGTGGGGCACAACCCTGAGAGGCTGTCCATGCTGAAGGGAGGGATCGTGTACTCCAACATCGTGACGTGAGTTGATTTTATTTCTGCGAGTTGACACCGTTTATTGCTAGTTGATATTCTTTTTGTGAGTTTACACTCTTGTGTGCCCACCTGCGTGACTATATGCTGTATCTCTGAACCATGCCTGCATTGATGCATCTATCCCATGCGCTAAACCGCGTGCATACAACGACATTCACCCACACCACACATGACTGCACTATAATCCATGGCATGCATGCATGCAGCACCGTGAGCCCAACGTATGCCAGCGAGACTCTCTGCAATGGATGGCTCTCCAACACGCTCCTCAAATACCGCACCAAGTAAGATCTTTTATAGTAGCCTTTACGGTTAGTTATTGGCTGATTTCTTTCACGAAAAGGATCCTGCATATGTATATATGTGCGTGTATATGTGATCACATATGTACATAAATGTATTTCTGTTTATGTAAGACTCACTTTGACTTGATGGTGGATGGTGTTACTGTGGCTGGCAGGTACTTTGGTGTGCTGAACGGGATCGACACGGAGATGTGGGACCCGCAAACCGACCCCCATCTGCCCGCTCATTTCTCACGTACGAATCTGCCTTGCCCTCAACTTGAGAGTCAAACAGACCATTGATTCGTGTGCTCAGCTCTCTTCTACGTATCGAGCATTTCTCAGGAGCCGAGTCATGTGCGTTTTTTCCTACACATCACATTCTGCCATTCCTCATTCTGCCATTCCTCATTCTGCCATTCCTCATTCTGCCATTCCTCATTCTGCCATTCCCCTTCCATCCAGCCACCATCCTGGCAGGCAAGATGGTGTGCACCATCCAGCCACTAAGACAGCGGGATCTGGGCCACTGACCCGACTCTTCCCCTCTCTTCCCCTCTCCCACCCCCCCGCCCTCCCTATCTCCCCCCTGGAAATAAGAACTGTTTATCATCTTTCCTCCTCCACCCACCCTCTCTCCCCGCACTTTCCTCTGTCTCCCCTCCTCCAGCCACAAGCCTGGCAGGTAAGATGCTGTGCAAGCACTACGAGCAGCGGAATCTGGGCCTGACCCGACTCTTCCCCCTTCCCCCACCTCCCCTCTTCCTCCCGCACTTTCCTCTGTCTCCCCCCCTCCAGCCACCAGCCTGGCAGGCAAGATGCTCTGCAAGCACTACGTGCAGCGGGGTCTGGGCCTCACACCTGAAATAACACCTGAGGCAGCAGACAAGCTTGCAGCGGATGCGTCAGCAGGGCCCGTGGCTGACTCAGCACTGACTCAGCTGGTCACAGGGGAGCGGTCCCCATTGGTGGTGTGTGTGACCCGTCTTGTGGCCCAGAAGGGCATTCACCTGATTCGCCACGCCATCTACCAAACACACAAATACGTGAGTTTTTTTGTTTTCTTCTCTTTTTTTTTTTTTTCTTATTCTTCTATCTTTTGTCTCTCTTAGCGCTGTTAGCGACGGTAACATCCACCAGACACACGAATATGTGAGTCTTGGATCATTGTTACCAACCGTTAGTCATGATTCCGTCCATATTGATAATTCCATCTCGCACACAACTGCCTATCAACTCACCCTTCATTCTTCCCATCCCCCCCTTCCATCTCACTGTGCGTGCCCACTCAACAAAATGCCCAATTCATTCTGGTTTGAGACATCTCAGAATTCACCAGTCACCCCCTTATGCACTTTTCACTCCCTCCCACTCATAAGGGCGGACAGTATATTCTGCTGTGAAACGTCTTAAAACTCACTGATAAAACCCCCGCTTCCACTTTCCATTCCCTCCCACTCCACAGGGCGGGCAGTTCGTTCTGCTCGGCTCGTCTCCTGATGGCCGAGTGCAGGGAGACTTTGTCAAGATCGCAGAAGAGGTGAGGGCAAATCATGTATGCCAGGTCAAATACTGTGAGCCCACTTTCCAGTGAAATAGAGTGAATGAATGTTCTTCGTGCTAAGCTCTGCAGCTTCTGTGTTGCCTGCACACACAGCTACCATCTGATCTGCTCTCTGTGCCCCTCTTCTTGCTTGCATTGTCGTTTCTTTCAACTCCCTTACAGTTCCAAGACGGTGGCAGTGTTCGTCTCGTTCTCATGTACAGGTAACTCGCCACATCGTCGTCATTAATATGTCTCATCTCATCATGGTGCTCATGCCCCAGAAGCCACCTTGAGAAATCTAAAGAACGTAATTGCCATATCATATGCCTCGTTATGGTTCTCATGCCACCATGCCCACCTCCCACCACCGTTGCCAATTCATGTGCCCAAGTGCCAAAATCTTTTCGGCAAACTTTAGAAGCGTATTGTGCTAAGATTTCACACCCCATGAGTTCATCCTCGTTACAAGCAGCTAACCTTGTGCGTTTAGTGTGGGTGACAGTGAGAGCCTGGCTCACCAACTGTTTGCGGCGGCGGACATGGTGCTCGTACCGTCCATGTTTGAGCCGTGCGGCCTCACCCAGATGATCGGCATGCGCTACGGCACCGTGAGTGGGGAATGTGGGTGGGGGTGGGGAGGGAGAGGGGGGATGAGGGGAATTCTGAGAACCGTTGACCAGTAGTGTAAAAAGGTGGTGCTCGTGCCCTCCGTGTTTGAGCCGTGCGGCCTCACCCAGATGATTGGCATGAGCTACGGCACGGTGAGTGGGGATGGGAGGGAAGGGATGGAGAGGGAAGGGAAGGGGGTTTGGGGGAGTCTTGAAGACACAGGGAGTCTTGTTTGTTCTCGTGCCATCAGTGCTTTGTCCATGCGAGAATTCACTCTGATCGTTGGCATGTTTCAGCTGTGGCTTAGTCAGTTTATTGAGATGTTCTTCTCTTGTGGTTCTCACCTTTTCCTTTCTTGCATGCTGTGCTTGTTGCCTCGTGTCATCAGGTGCCAGTGGTGAGGCGGACAGGCGGACTAGCAGACACAGTCTTTGATGTGGACGATGGGGGGAACAAAGAGAAGGCCAATGGGTGAGTGACATTGGATACATTGGTGAGAAAGACAGGGTGGGTGTCTTTTTTTTTTTTTTTTTTTTTTTTTTTTTCAGCAAGGTTTCCTTACAAGGGGGACATGGTCCAGGCTGTCACTGTCTCTTCTCTGATATGTCGATTGGACAATGTGTTCGATGGTGCTGTTTTTTTAGATGCCTCATAGTTCAACAATGTGTAGCATGCTGCGACAGGTGAGGGGGGGTGGAGAGGGGACAATGAGAGAGCCATCCGTGCACATCCCTCTCTTGCCTCATTGTCCTCACATCACAATGAGACAATGTCCTTCATTTCTCTTGCCTCCTCTTGCTTCCTCTTGCCTCCTCTTCTTTCACTAGAGATTTGTGTGTGATGGAATCAATGAGGATGCATGTAATTCAGCCCTTTGCCCCTCACTCCTCTCTTGCCTCCTCTCCCTTCATCGCAAGTTTTTGTTTGATGGAATCAGCGAGGACACACTTGATTCAGTTCTTCACAATTCCTTTGCCCCTCACTCCTCTCTTGTCCCTCACTCCTCTCTTGCCTCTCCTCTCTTCGCTGCAGGTTTGTGTTTGATGGAATCGGCGAGGACGCACTTGATTCAGCCCTCTCTCGCGCTGTCAAGTACTACAAGGACCGTACGTTTCTGCTGCTCTTCTCCCCTTCTCAGATTCTGAGTCGACTCAAATGCCTTTCCCCCATTTCCCTTTCCTTCCAGATCTGTGTTTGGCTTCACTGCGTCTTCCTCCTCCCACCCCATGCATGCCTGAACGCACCGCGGAACATATATACATGCTCATGCATTCAGGCACATGCATGCTCATGCATTGGCATGCATTCAGGCACATACATGCTCATGCATTGGCATGCATTCAGGCACATACATGCTCATGCATTGGCATGCATTCAGGCACATACATGCTCATGCATTGGCATGCATTCAGGCACATACATGCTCATGCATTGGCATGCATTCAGGCACATACATGCTCGTGCATCCAGGCATGGACATACGCATGCATCCAGACACGTACATGCTCATGCATTCAGGCACATAGATGCCCATGAATATACATGTGTGCACAAGAAAGTGTGCCTCACAAGAAAATTCACCATGCCCTTCGCATTATTTATTGCATCTCCTTTGAGCTTGACCTACACCCCTATTCCTTGCCACCTGATGTATTGCTAGACCTTTGCCCCACACCCTTGCTCAATATGTCTGACTCCACTCACTTCTTGCCACGTGTCAGGCCCGGAGTGGTGGCAGCAGCTGACGTCTAAAGTGATGAGCATCGACAACAGCTGGAACAAGGCTGCTAAGGAGTATATCTCGCTCTACGACAGCATCAGAGTGCGATGGCCTTAAGTGAACATATTATTTTTATCTAGTATTGTTATTCTGTTGTGAACTACAGCATGATTAACTTGCTATGATTTGTAAGTTGAATGCGGGATGATGCACCACAACGAGTAAACTGTTACCGAAGTACCCAACCAGTTGTTTAATAGGGGTGGTAATACCGTATTCCCCCGGACATACCACCCCCCGAAATAGAGCACCCCCCGGGTGGCTTGTGCGGGGGGGGTGCTATAGCGGGCCTCGTTTCTACTATACCCCCCCTTTTGGGGGCATCCTATATAGCACCCGGGGGGGGGGTTTATGTACGGGTATAATTGCAGTTTTTGCCTAAGTAGCACAGGGTTTCCAATGATAATCCATCTACAAGTTAACATTAGCAGAAACAAGCTACATATGACGCAATACAGCGCTAACACTCCCATCACAGTCTTTCCTACATTCAACAGGGGCCTACTACCATCTACCATCTGCACAGAAAGAAGGATCAACTACTTCACAGTTCAATGACGTGCCCGCCCAGCGAGGCAACCGAGGCTGTTGCGGGGACTCCGCCATTGTCACCTGCATGAATCCTCGTCGTGCGACGAGGGGGTGTGATTTCGTCCAATCAGGGCCTGACAGTGGGCCTTGTTGGAGCTTGCAATGTGGCAGCTAACCCTCGCGCAAAACGTTTGTCAGAATCCCAGCTACTAACCACTGGGATAAAAGGGCTTGTTTGTGTAGCGGGTGAGTGCGCCCATAACCCCCCAGGCCAACGTGCCTGTAACCCTTCCCTAGGATCAATCGGGGATCACCAGTGGACCTCTGACACCCCCCCGCACTGGGATGCCCGAGGTGCACACACCGGGATTCGAACCCGAGACCTTCGCTCTGATACCATGTCAGAATCCCAGCCACTAACCACTGGGATAAAAGGGCTTGTTTGTGTAGCGGGTGAGTGCGCCCATAACCCCCCAGGCCAACGTGCCTGTAACCCTTCCCTAGGATCAATCGGGGATCACCAGTGGACCTCTGACAACGTTTTCGCCCAGTCCTCGGTTTTGCGCACCCAACCAGCAATCTACCACCACGGCACAGATGTACATTTAGTACTAAACGTTTTACGCTATAAAAAAAATATACATTATGTAAAGACCCGGGTGCAATGTAGCTTTTTCCGATGACAAGACCCCCCCCCCTTTTTTTTTGTGTAGTTATCATAGCACCCTAGGGTGGTATATCCGGGGGAATACGGTAGGCCCACTTCTGAGGGACAAATCCCGATAATACCACCTTTGAGCCAAGATAGGAGGCTGAACCAGCTCATACGCAGTCCTGGTGATGTCTGTATATGGGAGCCTCGCCCCCCTTCGCCCTCCCCCCTTCCCCCCCACCCACCCCCCCCTCCCCCCTTCCCCCCCACCCCCCCCTCCTCCCCCCTTCCCCCCCCCCCCCCCCCCCCCCCCGCCCGTATAGTTGCAATGCAAATTGGCATAAACAGTCATTTTGCTCAATACACAGGCGGAGAGCAGCTCACAGGCCCCAAACGCCTATGAAGCAGCCTGCGCACACCCCGCCAACTCCTGGCCATAAACCCGCAATGCGAATGACGACTACGGTTGCAAATTGCCAGTTTTAAGTGCCACGTTTTTAAGGTGTAGCCTCCCTTGGAAGGGCAGGCAGCACGTGTGGCAGGGCAGGGTTGCAGCAGGTAGAGTCTTCACTACAGTGCACACCATGCCCTTTGGCTCCGTGGTGCACGGATGTCACTGTGGTTGTGTGAGAGCCCACCGCCACCACGCCCTTTGGCTCTCACAGAGTCACCGGCAGCAGTTGTAGTTGTGGCTTTCTGCGACTCAACCACCACTGCTCTTGCGTAGTGCTGCTTCTCTGTTTGGTGTATCCATCCAGGAGGTGTTGCTGCACAAACTCCTGCTGCAGGCAGTTATGGGGGAGTGTTGAAATATTTATGTAACTGCCTGTAGCTGTAGTTTAGTGTAGTTATTATTAACTGTTGGTGGTGCACCTCTTGTGCTTGTTCTCTTGCCTATATGTTCCTTGTTTGCTATAGTGAAACTCTCTTTCTTGCCACAATTCTCTCGACTCCCCCTCCTCGGCTCAACCTAGCTCAATCTCCTTGGGCCTAGGCTACTATGCCTAGGCCCCCACTTAAGATTAGTGTTAGAATCACAGGCAGGAATGGATGAACTAACAGCACGCATGAGTACATATGGTGAACCCTAATTGGGTTGTACCTCACTACAGCCTAGACAATATGCTGCATATATGTTTGACACACCCCCATAGGCAAAGTGGGGGAGAACAAGGGGTCATAAGACCAGTCAAGAGACGCAAAGCAAGCTCAGGGTGGATCTCGACGTCACCACACATTCTGAGCACAAGCAAAGGGCCGCAAGGCCAGTCCACATGCAGAGATATATATAAGCAACAAGAGCAGTACAGTGATCAATACCTAGCAAGAGCAAGCATGCAGGTATAAATATAGAGCACAGTACACACAAAAGACTACAGCAAGTGTGGAAATGTAGGCACAAGGCCTAACAAAGTACAAAAGCGCTGATGATCACCAGACGGAAGTGCCTTGGTGAATATATCAGCAGTGTTGGCCCGAGTGGCCACGTGTGCAAGACGAAGCTGACCACGCTGCTGCAACTCTCGAGCCAGAAAGTACCGCAGAGCGATGTGCTTCGTTCTGTGCTCCAGTCTGTGCTCCTCACACAAGGCAATGGCAGCCTTGTTGTCGACGTACAGCACTGGAGGAGAACGAGGCCGCTCTCCCAGGTCGGTCAGCAGGTAGGTGAGCCAGCGTAACTCCTATGCAGCCATGGCGGTGGCGTAGATCTCAGCCTCACAACTGGAGCTGAGAATAGAAGACGAGCGAGTAGAACGCCAAGAAACAGAACCAGAGCCAAGGCTGAAAGTGTAACCCTGTGACGACCGCTGCGTAGCCTGGTCGTCAACCCAAGAAGCGTCTGAGTGCCCAGTGAGGACCACCTCTCGCCGTCCTCCAAGCACGAGCCCCATGCCCGATGTACTGCACAAGTAGCGCAGTACCCTCTTCGCAGCATCCCAGTGCACCTTTCGGTGCCGACCAGGAGCCACGTAGCGAGCCAGAAGGCCAAGAGGGTACGCAAGGTCAGGACGAGTGCAAGTCATCAGGTACATGAGGCAGCCCACTAGCTCTGGGTAAGGACCACTCGGCTCTACGGACTCATCCGAAGGCAGAGCTGAGAGCGAGTGACCTATAGCCAGAGGAGTGGCCTGTGCTGAGGACCAGGTGAAGCCGAAGCGCTGAAGGACCTGCTGCACCATGTGTGACTGAGTCAGTGTGATGGTGCGGCGTGCTCGGTCCCGGGTGATCTGCAAGCCAAGGTAGCTGCGCAGCTCACCCAGGTCTGTGCACGTGTGTCTCTTCTGCAGCTCGGACTTCACCAGGGCGAGGGCCTCAGTGTCAGCAGTAGCAAAGACCAGGTCGTCGACGTACACGAGGATATAGAACGGCGGCAGCGAAGTGTCGGTGCGCAGAAACAGTGAAGGGTCAGCAGTCGAAGGCGCAAACCCAAGAGCCGCAAGGGTAGTCCTCAGTGTGTCGTGCCACTCACGGGGTGCCTGGCGGAGACCGTAGACTGGCCGCCGGAGGCTCCACTAGGTACCAGGAGGGAACGACCCAGTGAAGCCAGGTGGGCGGCGCAGCCAGATCTCCTCGTGCAGGCTGCCCTGTAGGAAAGCTGTGCTGAAGTCAAGGGAGTGAAGCTCGTAGTCACGCTGAGCGGCAACGTGCAGCAGCACCCGAAGAGTAGTCATCTTTGGGGTAGGGGAGAAGGTCTGGAAGAAGTCAACTCCCTCTCGCTGACTGAAGCCTCGAGCAACGTAACGCGCCTTGAAGACAGGCGGAGAACCTGGCGGCCGCTTCACCCTGAAAATCCACATGCCATCGACGATGTTCGCCCCGGGAGGGGGAACCTCATCGACGTAAGTGCCTGTGGACTTCCAGGATGCCATCTCTGCGTCCATGGCTGCCTGCCACTGAGAGGAGTAAGGACCCGCGATCGCCTCAGCGTAAGAGCGCGGTGTGGGGATGTCTATAGCATCCGGGTCTCCCTCAGGGGCAAGCAGCATGGCCACGAGATGAGGCGCAGCAGCCGCAAGACACGCAAGGTCCTCCTGTCTGTCCTCAAGGACGTCCGTGCCAAGAGCACACTCACCCCCGACGGACGGAGGACAGACAGACTCAGACTCAGCAACAAGACTAGCAGCGTAGTCTAGACGATAGGCAGCAGCAAAGTCAACAAGCTCAGCGACCAGGGCAGACGCAGCAGCAGACTCAAACGACGGGTCAGTGACAACAGTGGCTAGCAGACGCGTGACAGTAGGGTGCTCAGCACGAAACCGGTCAGACTCAGGGTCCGCGACGTCAGGCAAAGAGGACGCAGGGGGAGACGGAAGAGGAGTACGCTCCGGAGTAGGGGACCGACGCAGGGCTACAAGGCGTGTGCCGGGGACAGCCGGCTGACGCGGACGAGGAACACGACGACCGGTACGACTAGGACGAACAGGCGAGACAGGACGCGACGCAGGCTCACGACGCTCAGCAAGACTACCTGTCTGCTCAGTGTAAGGAGAAGGAGCAGGCAGCGGTGAGCCAGGCTGTAACGGAAGACCAGTAGACGATGGGAGAGTAAGAACCTGACGAAGAACAGAGTCAGGCGGCGGCAGAGACGACGGAGACGGCGGAGCGAAGAACAGTCGTGTCGGCGCAGCTGCACCAGTACCGGCAGCTCCAGCACCTCCAGCAGCTCCAGAAGCTCCAGCCCCAGAGCCGACACCGCCAGGCCCAGGGTCTCCAGCCGCAGTGCCTCCAGCAGCAGCACCCCCAGAACCAGCACCTCCAGTCCCAGGGTCTCCAGCCTCAATGTCTCCAGCAGCAGCACCCCCAGAACCAGCACCTCCAGCCCCAGCAGCTCCAGTACCTCCAGTACGAGCACCTCCGGGACCAGCGACTCCAG